TGAGCAGTCTCAGGCTTAAGTACAGTTAAGTCCCCTTTGAGATCCTCTATCACTGACGACAGGAGATCAAATAACCAGCTAATTAAAATTGATGTCCACCTTCTATTGACGTCATCATTTGTGGTCCCTCGAGGAAGTGGTTTTCTGAATTTGCAACCCCTGGGAATGTTGTTTCCTCCCCAAATCCTGTGAGTGTGCAAATGTGGAGTTTGAGATGCTTGTTTCCTTTCTGTGTCAAAGGAAATCGCTGCCACTGAAGATTTTGTATCCTCCGTCCTACACTCCACAAATACACAGGCTTGTAGGATTCCTGCTAAATACCTCTCTGTACATCAGTGTTGGAGGCAAATGTCAGGCTCCTGGGAACACGGGCTGAAGGAACCTTCTATTGACGTCATCATTTGTGGTCCCTCGAGGAAGTGGTTTTCTGAATTTGCAACCCCTGGGAATGTTGTTTCCTCCCCAAATCCTGTGAGTGTGCAAATGTGGAGTTTGAGATGCTTGTTTCCTTTCTGTGTCAAAGGAAATCGCTGCCACTGAAGATTTTGTATCCTCCGTCCTACACTCCACAAATACACAGGCTTGTAGGATTCCTGCTAAATACCTCTCTGTACATCAGTGTTGGAGGCAAATGTGTTAATGGGAATTAAAGCTTTCAGGAAAATAGCCAATATTTATTTGTAGTGCTGAATGCTTAATAGACAAAGATACCCTGTGGGGTTGGTATGTGTGCAAGTGTGTGTGTGTGTGTGTGTCTTTTATACATGTGTGGGTTACTGCTGAAACAGATGGAATGTCGTGTGTGTGTCTGCATACACATAAATATATGTATGTTTACATGTGTACATATATATCTGTGTATAAACACACACGAGGGTACTTCAAAAAGGTCATGAAACATTGAATTAAAAGATAACACAAAATTTTTCATGACCTTTTTGAAGTACCTTCATATATATATGTGTATATATATATATATATATATATATATATATATAGCCTATAGCAGAAGGCTGACAACATACTATTGACCTACAGAATTAGCTGGTGACCAGAGCATGGTGGAGCCCTGGCAACCTCCCACTTGTGGTGGTGAGAGGCTGGCCCTGCATTACCACGGTGGCCAAGGGTGCTGGACACAGAAGGTTCCTGTAGCCAACAGGGTGCTGGCCCCAGACAGGGCGGTGGGCTGGGGTGTGGTGAGGAGGGGGTGGGTGGTCTTGGCAAAAGAGGGGCCACTCAAGTCACAGGACACTCTGTGGCTTCTCTTCTCAGCCTGCTGTGGGTCACCATGACTCTGGGACAACGGGCCAGAAAGGCATCTGGACGCTCCCTCCCAGCGGGGCTTCTGCTGGACACAGCCCTGCCAACTGCATGGGGGCTGCTCTGGGGAAACCTTCAGGGACCTCTCTCATCCCACTTCTCATCTACTCCTTCCTCCACCAGGCCTCTCCTTTTGCTGCATGTGGAAGGGAGCATGGACACCGGTGTTGGAAAAAGGATACTGAGGGACCCTGGGGGCCTGTCCCTAGGGTTTGGCCCCTATGCTTGCAGCATGGCTAGTGGGTGGTGAGTCATCCCCTCTGCAGAGTTGACTCTGGTGGGTTCTACAGACACTTGAGGGCTGCTCAGAGGGTCTGGGGCCAAGTTCCAGCCCCGTGGGAAAGAGTGCCATGACAGACTAATGTGTGTGCTGGGTCCCCCCACTTGCCTCCTGCTTAGATGGCCTCTAAGGACCTCCCTGTGCTGATGTTTCCTGTTGTCCTGGATCAGCCTGCTGGCTCCCTGGCCCCTCTTCTCTGCTCATGTGGCAGTAGGTGACACGTCTGATCTTAACTGATGCTCCTGTAGCCAACAGGGTGCTGGCCCCAGACAGGGCGGTGGGCTGGGGTGTGGTGAGGAGGGGGTGGGTGGTCTTGGCAAAAGAGGGGCCACTCAAGTCACAGGACACTCTGTGGCTTCTCTTCTCAGCCTGCTGTGGGTCACCATGACTCTGGGACAACGGGCCAGAAAGGCATCTGGACGCTCCCTCCCAGCGGGGCTTCTGCTGGACACAGCCCTGCCAACTGCATGGGGGCTGCTCTGGGGAAACCTTCAGGGACCTCTCTCATCCCACTTCTCATCTACTCCTTCCTCCACCAGGCCTCTCCTTTTGCTGCATGTGGAAGGGAGCATGGACACCGGTGTTGGAAAAAGGATACTGAGGGACCCTGGGGGCCTGTCCCTAGGGTTTGGCCCCTATGCTTGCAGCATGGCTAGTGGGTGGTGAGTCATCCCCTCTGCAGAGTTGACTCTGGTGGGTTCTACAGACACTTGAGGGCTGCTCAGAGGGTCTGGGGCCAAGTTCCAGCCCCGTGGGAAAGAGTGCCATGACAGACTAATGTGTGTGCTGGGTCCCCCCACTTGCCTCCTGCTTAGATGGCCTCTAAGGACCTCCCTGTGCTGATGTTTCCTGTTGTCCTGGATCAGCCTGCTGGCTCCCTGGCCCCTCTTCTCTGCTCATGTGGCAGTAGGTGACACGTCTGATCTTAACTGATGCTGTTATTTCCCGCTACTGCCTGCCAGCCCATCAGGGACCTGCTCGGTCATTTAGCAGTTGCTGCTTCGGGGCTATTACATCAAAATATATACATTTTTAAAAAGTGGGTGGTGGGTGGTCTTTTCTGGCTTTTGAGTTTCAAAAGCTTGGTCCTGGAGGGCTCCAGAAGTAAGCGAGGACAGAGACAAACTAAGGGACGTCAGAGCCAAGTGTAGAAAGCTGAGGAAGGACAGGAGCTGGGGTCTTATTATTAGCATCAGCCCAGGAAACAGAAAGGTAGGAATAAATAACAAATAAGGAGGAGGGCAGTCTACAGACAAAAGAGTGAACTTTAAATTTGCTCCTGGCCTCTGTGTGTTCATCTGTGAGACTCCAGCATTTCCAAAGGCTCTCCTGGATCTGGCCCTCAGAAAGCCTGCCTAGAAATAGCCACGATTCAAGGTGGTTCACATGCAGAATGACAGGTGGATCTGGGTCCTACCACCCTTCTGGCTTCATCAGGCCCACTGAGTACCTCTCATGCCGACTTGCTCTTAGGCATGCTGCCTCTCAGGGCCCATGTCTTAGCCAGGGTGCTACGGGGAAACAGAGCTAGGGACAGGATGCACAGATAAAAAGATTTGTTAGGAGGAATTGGCTCATGCAATTATGAAAGCTGAGAAGTCCCACGATCTGCCATCTGCAAGCTGGAGATGAGGAAAGCTGGTGGCATGGTTTGGCCCAAGTCCAAAGGCCTAGGAACCAGGAGAGTGGATGGTGTGTCAGTCTGAGTACAGGAGACCCAGCTCATCAGCCGGGCAAAGAGAGTGAGTCTGCCTTCCTCTGCCTCTTGTTCTATTCAGTCCCTCAGTGGATTGGACGGTGCCCACCCACACCGGGGAGGGCCCTCTGCTCTACTGAGTCTGCTGATTCAAATACTAATGTCATCTGGAAACACCCTTGCAGACACACCCAAAACAATGTTTAACCAGATATTCGGACACCCCTGATCCGGTGAAGGTGACACACAAAATGAACCAGCACAGCTCCCTTTGATAAGATGAGGGAACCAGACTTGATAAGATTGGATCCCTGTAAACACAATGGACAGAAATAGGATTGTCTGCATCTCAGAAAAACAAGCCCCACAATTATTGGTCTCATTGCCATGGCAAGCACGTCCTTCCCATTTATCTCTGCCCATTTTCAAGGGTGGGAACCTGAGTCAAGCTGCCCAGGGCTGCCCTTTTCTCTCACCCTCCCCTCCCTGGAGGCATTAGTCCCAAGCAGAGAAGGGAGTCCTGCCCTGGGCCTGCCTTGGTCCCCCGATCCTGCCCCCCCGGCTGTGACAGGAGGGTGCTGGACTCGACCTCGTGGGGGCGACATTCCCCCAGAATCAGCCGAGTGCACGCGGATGGGCAGAAGGCCTCACTCACCACCCAGCAGCAAGGCCAGCAGGTCACAGGCGAGGGCAGGACTGGAGGCTTCGCGGTGACACGCCATGGTCTGGCTCCAGGGTGCCCCCTGCCCGCTCCTCTTATAGCCTCCAAACGGAAGGTTGTTGGGGTTGTCCCATGGCCAGGCCAGGCGTCCCCACTTCCTCTTTCCATCTTGGGGGCCATGGGAAGTTTGGGGTCAGAACCAGACACCAGGATGTAGGGGACTTCAGGCTCAGGGTCCCAATTTTCCCTGGGGCAGTGAGAAGCTGGCTCCTGCCCACCCCATGCTGGGGGTCCCTGGACAAATGGGCAGCCTGGCCACAGCCCTTGGGGGGACACAAGCCCTCCCCTCACATCCAAGGAGACGCCTTCCCGGTGTGGTCCCAGCAGAATGGGATGTAGCTCATGTGTCCAGCGGCTGGGGCAAGCCTGAAACCACTGTGAAGCCCGCCTTAGCTGGGGACAGGACAGGACAAGGGAATGGGGGAAAGGTGGGGGAGAGAGCCACGTGTATCCTCTCAGTCCCCCCCTGAGACCCACAGAAACACCTTCTCTCCAGCTTGAGGATTCATGTTTCTCCTGGAGGGCAGTGGTTCTCAGTAAAGCCACAATCTTGTCAACCCCCATCCCAAGGACACTGAGCAATGTCTGGGGACATTTGTGGTTGTCACAACTGGGGGTGCTCCTGGCATGGAGTGGGTGGAGGCCAGGGAAGCTGCTCAGCTACGTGCAGTGCCCAGGACGGCCCCACCATGGAGAAGGTTCCAGCCCCACACCCACAGAGCCCTGGGGGAGAAGCCAGAGTGCAGAGGAGATATTTATTTATTTATAAGTGACTCGTAGTTTTAAATGTTTTTAGTTTTGTTTTGTTTTTTGTTCACTCTTTATTCCTTTTGTTTGTATTTATTTTTCACTTCTCTTTAACTGACTCATCATTATGAAAAATTTAAACCTAAAAGAGGAGGTCTCTAAACTTGGGAACAAAAAAAAAGTTTTTAACGTTTTCCTTTTTTTAGTTTATTTTTATTTTTATTTTTTGGCAGCTGGCCAGTGTGGGGATCTAAACCCTTGACCTTGGTGTTAGCAACACTGTAACATTTCATTTTGAAATGATTTCATGCTTACAGAAGTCCAGAGAGTTCCCGGATTCACCTGCCCCCACTCCCTGAATGTTGTCATCTCACACAACTGAGGGGCCGCGGTCGAAACCAGGGAACGATCATCGATTCAACATGATGACCTCATCCACAGACCTTCTGAATGTCCCCAGTTGTCCTTTTTCTGGTCCAGGATCCCACCTTGTGTCGTGTTTCTGGCTCAAGGCACAGGGCAGCAGGAAACAACACCCAATCGAGGGTTCAGAGAAATCATGAATTAGTCCATGAAAGGGGTTCCAAGAAATTAATTAGGTAAAGAAGAGAGGCGCTGACAATTCCAGGCCCACAGAGCAGCAGAAATGAAAGAAATGAGAAAATAAGAATACGACAAGTCAGAGAACTGCAAGTAGTTCAGTTTGGCTAAATATAAGGTACTGGTATAACTAGTTGTTTTTTTTTTTAATCCTAGCAATAAACTTTTTTCATATAAAATATAATAACAAACATAACATATAAAATAGGTAAAAACAAAAGTGATCTTTTAGAATCGGGGCTGGGAAATACAGGTCCTATTCACTGACTGTCCTTAATTTTCTCATGGATTTCCTGAAATACCTTCTTTGAACTCAATTTGAGAACTTCATGAGTCTCTTTTTTATTCTTTTTCATTTAAAATAAATTTCACTGTGTACATTTATAGTATACCACACGATATTATAAGATATAGATACAGATATAGATAATGGTTACTACAGTGAAGCAAGTGAACATATACGTCACTTCACACAGCTACGCATCCCCCTCACTCCAGGACAAGAGCAGCTACCATCTACTCATTTAGCAACAATCCTGAATACAATACACCATTATTAACTATAGTCCCCATGTTGTATTTCGTGTGTGTGTGTGTTTGTGTGTATTTTGCAGTTGTTCCTTAGATGAAATGGGAATTGCTTCTAGAAAAGAACAAGAGAGATAAGTAGAGATCAGATAGTGAAAAAGCCTGAAGTCCAAATTAGAGAGACCAGCTGAATTTTGAGAGCAGAAAGAAAAAGAAGCCACAGTAAATACACTTTAAGCAGGAGACTGATATGATCTATTTAAATTTTAGAAAGTTCACTAGGGTGTCCAAGTAAAAAATGTACTGAAAGATGGTAACTTGATCAAGAAATCAACCGACTTGGAATTTATTTTGCCATTCTAGGAAAAAAAAAATAATAATGAAATCTAAACCAAGATAGAAGCAGATGATTAGAGAAGACAACCTGGATTCTAAGGAAAGTCATTAAATAGAATTAACTGGCCTTTGTGATAAATGAGATGTGATGTAGAGTTGATATAATGAAAGACAAGAATCTCAGTGACACCCAGTAAATTACGGGCCACTAAACTATCTGGAGAATAGATGAGGAGGAAGTTTAGTCCAGGATGATGAGTTCAGTTTTAACCATGTTGTTTCTGAGGTGACTTAAGATATTCAGAAAGCAACTGAGCACACACAAGTCTAGATTCTCAGGAGAGATGGTAAAGAAAGAAAAGTATATTTGGAAATTATTGGCTAATGCTTAAGTCAAAAGAATGCATGAAGTCACTGAAAGAAAATGCATATAGTGAGAAAAGACAGCTGAGGAATTGACCTTAAGGCACAAAAATATTTAAGGGGATGAGAAGACAAGTTAGTTGGGAACGTCCCGGGAGGAGCAGCAGATAGAGCCACCAAGGGAACGGTGTCATCACTCACACAGCATGTGTGTAACCCCACTTAACTGGTGTTTCTCAAGTTGCAAGACCATTGGGTTGCAAGATGTCTTTGTTTGTGAATAATGGGCACACGTGAGCATATTTAAATGCTGAAGTGACATAGGGGGAAAAAAAGACAGAGAGAGAAATTGAAGATTAAGGAAAAAGAGAGATGATTGATGGGGCAAGGAAGATTCTAAATGACACAATCTTCTGTAATGAAAGGAAGGAAATTGAACAGAAAGAAAATAAGGCATGATCTGACACGTACGGGACAGAAACTTGAGGATATTCTCCCCAATGGGTTCATTTTTTTTCTTTCAAGAAAAAGGTGTACTGGGCCGGCCAAGTGGCGCACTCGGTAGTGCGGCACTTGGGAGCGCGGCGGCGCTCCCGCCGAGGGTTCAGATCCCATATAGAGACCGGTCCGCTCACTGGTTGAGCCCGGTGCAGGCACGACACCGAGGGTTGCGATCCCGTTGCCAGTCGCGGTACAGACGCAACACTGAGGGTTGCGATCCCATTATGGGTCATGAAAAAAGAAAAAAAAAAGAAAAAGGTGTACTTATGAACTCAGTGTAGGAAAAGATTTCTCAGCTCAACTTCAAAAGCACAGACCATAAAAGAGAAGATTAATAAATCTGACTATATTAAAATAAAAAGGTTCTGTGAGCAAAAGATACCCTAAAAATTGAGAAAACAAACCACATACTGAGAAAATATATTTGTAACACAGAAGGTTATAGCTTCCATTTAGGATGTACAAAGATATAAGGAGTTACTCCCAACCTATCCTCAAGAAAAAGCTCAGTAATGTATAAAATCATAACTTTTCCTTAACTAATAAGAGAGATGAGGTCTCAGGGCAACCAACGAGCCTGAAATCTAAGGAAAGATAGATGCTTCCATGGAGTAGAGCATGGGAGGAAGAAATGTCAGGCCCCAAACAAGCTGGTAATAATAATTTGGCCAAAATATTTAATGGATTACTGAAGGTCAGTTGTAGGCTAGGATGAGTGTAGTACATACCAGTCTGCACTCACAAACAGACTCTTGTTCATGGATCTCAGCAAGATGCTCATGAGAAAGGCTGGGTGCGGAGTGGGTGTCTGGAGAAAGTGTTCCTCTGTGATGCATGCAGCAATCCTTGCAGGAAAAGTACAAGGCATCACTTGGGTCCTCCAGCCTACAGAACAAAAATGGCAGACCCTGTTGCCATCAGGGCACAGGTGAAGACTCTGCAACCAGGGAATAGAAATAAGGGAGGAGCAAGAAATCTTCCTGCAACCAGACCATTAGAGATCCTCTGATCCTCTATTGCTATGAGAGGAACAGGATCACTGAGAAAGTCTCATCTCAAGACCCAGGAACACATGTCTTGCTTAAGATCAAGAATAAAAGAAGATAACAGAGAATGTCTCTCCCCCTACCACCTGACCAGCAAAACCATGAAACAAATGACAGAGGCTACCTAATACTGGAGGAAGCATAAAGGCATAAATAGTGAACCTCTCTGAGGTAGAAACTCTTAAGAAAGGCCTACATTTGAGAGTGGAGAGCAAAGTCTCCAGCCACCCAAACGCCACCCTATGTACACATTAGTGCTAGAGGGGGAGGAGGAGGAGAAGAAAGAAGAAGGAGGAAGGAAAAAGATGAAGAAAACAAGGAGAGGGGAGAGAAAAGGAGGAGGAAGAAAAACGCTGTCAAGAGTAAAAGTGTAAAAGCAATCAATATAACCAGACTCAGATACTATGCAGATAATGGAACTATCAGAAAGAGAACCAGAAAGAGAATATGCTAAAAACTCTAGAGTAAAAGCTGAACAACCTGCATGGCCAGATGGAGAATTTTGGCAGAGACAGCAGCTGTAAGAAGAGATGAAATGGAAATTCTAGGAAGGTAGAGCAGACTAACAGAGATGAAGAATGCATCTGACAGGCTTATCAGTGGATCTAAAACAGTCAAGGAAATGATCAGTGAACTTGAAGATAGGCCAATAGAGATTACCCGAACTAAAACACAAAGAGTAAAAAAAAAGAAAAATCATAAGAGAGCATCCAAAAGCTGTGTGACAATACAAACAGTCTAATATATATGTTATTTAAATCTCAGAAGAAATAGTAGGGAAGAATAAATATTGAAGAGATAATGACTGAAGATTTTCCAAAAATATTGAAGGATATCAAAACACAGGTACAAGAAGATTGGAAAATACCAAGCAGAGCAATGACACACACACACTCAATAAACAAACAAGCAAATCACACACAAAAAAGCCATAAACAAAAACTCCTACATACATCATATTCAAACTACTGAAAACCAAAGACAAGGAGAAAAGCTGGAAGGCAACTAGAGCAATAAGGCAAATTATATATTGAGTAATAAAGTAAGAAATAGAGTGCACTTTTTGTTAGACACTATGTACTTGAGAAGTCAATGGAGTGGCAACTTTAAAGTTCTGAAAGAAGAAAACGTGTCAACCCAGAATTCTATACAAAGTAAAAATAATTTGTAAAAGTTAAGGAGAAATAAAGGCTTTTATCCAGACAAACAAAACGGACAAATTCATTATCAGCAGACCTGCATTGCAAAAAAATGTTAAGAGAAGTTCTTCAAGCATGACATAGCAGAGGGATACTTGAATTTATATAAGAAATGAACAATGCTGTAAATGGTATAAAGAAAAGCAAATGCTAATTTCCTCTCTTCTTGTTTTAATGACTATAAAAGATAATTTTGTAAGCAGAGGTTGGCGTATTTTTTTCTGTTAAGGGCCAGATAGTAAATATTTTGTGCTTTGTGAGCCATACAGACTGTCACAACCACTCACCCCTGCTGTCGTAGTGTGACAGCAACCACTGATAATGCATAAGCAAATAGGCAGGGCTGTGTTTCAATAAACTTTATTTACCAAAATAATTGATTGGCGTCTGGATTTGGTCTATGGGCCAGAGTTTGCCAGCCTCTGGTCTAGAGCAAAAATAGTAGCAATATATTTTGTGTTTACAGCATATATAAAAAAGATAATATGTAACATTAGTAGTGAAAAGGATGGGAGGAAGGAATGGGGAGTATATTGTATGATTCTTGCACTAAAAGTATAGTATATAATTATGCCACTAAAGTATTTGAAGATAGACTGTGAATAACTAAAATGTGTATGGTAATCCCTAGGGTGATTATCAATATTTAAAAAAATAATTATAAATAATAAGCCAATAGTGAAGATAAAATGGAGTAACAAAAACACACAATTCATCTATAAGCAAAAAATAAAAACAGATGGAAAAAATGGAATACAAAATGCAAACAGTTTACCCCTCCCCACCCCGTACACATGCCATTACAAGACAGAGATTATCAGCTTGGCTAAAAAAGCAAGACCTGACTTGACTATGGGCTTTATACGTATAGTTAAATATAATGGCATAGGTAGGTTAGAAACAGAGGGAAGAAAACTATATACAATGGAAATACCAGTCAAAAGAAAGCTGGAGTGTCTATATTAATATCAGACAAAATAGATTTCACCTCAAGGAATTTTAGCAGGAATTGTAAAATGGTTAATTCAACAAAAAGATGTAG